TAAAACAATTCTTTAATCCCAGGAAATTAGCCAAGTGAATTTTCTCTGAGAGAGCAAGAACTGTAGATGCTGGAATCAGAGTCAACACAGTGTGGAGCTGGAGCAACACAACAGATCAGGCAGCCTCAGAGGAGCAAGAAAGTCGACGTTTCGGGTCGGAACCCTTCATCAGGACTGGGGAGGTGTAAGGGAGCTGGGAAATAACTAGAGGGAGGGAACGTGGGGCTTGGAGAAGCACCTGGGATGGTAATACTTGGATGCAGTTACAGGGTAATAGGGATTGGTCAGTGAGGTGCGAGGAGCAGACAGGTGGGAAAGAAGATGGACAGGTTGTGCCAGATCAAGGAGGCGGGAATGAGAGGGAGGGTTGGTCATGGGATGAGGCTGGGGGTGGGGAATTTTTGAAGCTGGTGAAATCCATGTTGAAGCCAACAGGCTGTAGGCCCTCAAGGCGAAATATGAGGTATTGTTCCTTTAGTTTGGATGTGGTGGCATTGTGACACTGGAGGAGGTCCAGGATGGACATGTCATCAAGGAAATGGGAGGGGGAGTTAAAATGGTTGGCAACCAGAAGGCATTCTTATTATAACGTACAGAACGCAGATGCTCCGCGAATCAGTTACCGAGTCTGTGCTTGGTCTCACCGATGTGGAGGAGATCACATTGGGAACAATGGATACAGTAGACCAGGTTGGAGGACGTACAAGTGAACCCCTGTCAGATTTGGAAGGATTGTTTGGGGCCTTGGATGGAGGTGAGAGGAGAGATGTAGGGGCAGGTGTAACACCTCCTGCAGTTGCAGGGAAAGGTGTGATGGGGTTAGTGGGGAGTGTGGAGCGGACGAGGGAGTCGCAGAGTGAGTAGTCCCTATGAAAGGCAGATGGGGGTGGGAGGGAAATATCTGTTTGGTTGTGGGCTTGGATTGTAGGTGGCGGAAGTGGTGGAGGATGATACGCTGGTTGCGGAGATTGGTGGGGTGGTATGTGAGGACCAGGGGGATTCTGTCCTTATTTTTGTTGAGGGGAGGGGGTGTGGGAAATGCAAGAGACGTGGTTGAGAGCATTGTGGATCAACGGAGAAGGGAAGTTGTAGTCCTTGAGTGGGAGGACATCTTGGATGTCCTGGAGTGGAACACGCCAACTTGACAGCAGATGCAGCGGAGGCGGTGGAATTGGGAGTAAGTGATTGCATTCTTGCAGGAGGGTGGGTGAGAGGAGGTGTGGTCAAAGTAGCTATGGGAGTTGGTAGGTTTGAATTAGATGTCAGTGCTGAGACGGTTACCAGAGACGGAAACGGAGAGGTCCAGGAAGGGGCGGTTGGTATCAGAGATGGTCCAGGTGAATTTGAGGTTGGGGTGAAAGGTATTGGTAAAGTTGAAGAACTGTTCAAGGTCCTCATGGAACATGAGGCAGTGCTGATACAGTCATCGATGTAGCTCAAAGCTCAGACCCATACGGGTGCCCATAGCCACCCCATTAGTTTGTAGGAAGTGGGAGGAGTTAAAGGAGAGGTTGTTGAAGGTAAGGACAAGCTCTGTTAGGCAGATGAGGGTGTCGGTGGAGGGGGACTGTTTGGGCCTGTGGGAGAGGAAGAAGCGGAGGGCTTTTAGGCCATCTGCGTGGAGGGATACAGGTGTAATATGTCTATCTAATATGTCCATGGTGAAGATGAGGTGTTGGGAGCCAGGGAATTGAAATTCTTGGAGGAGGTGGAGGGCGAGAGTAGTGTCCTGAACATAGGTGGGCAGTTCCTAGAACAGGGAGGAAAAGACGGAGTCGAGGTAAGCGGAGATAAATTCAGTGGGGCAGGAGCAGGCAGAGGCAATGGGTCAACCAGGGCAGTCAGGTTTGTGGATTTTTGGAAGGAGGAAGAAACGGGTGGTGCGGGGTTGGAGAATGAAGAGGTTGGAGGTGGTTGATGGGAGGTCACCTGAGGTCTTGAGGTTATTGATGGCTTGGGAGATGATGGTTTGGTGATCGGTGTGGGGTCAGAATCAAGGGGGCAGTATGAGGAGGTGTCAGAGAGTTGGCGCCTGGCCTCCACAATGTAAAGGTCAGTGCACCATACCACCACTGCGCCTCACCCCTCCCTTATACGCGGGTTTGATAGTGAGGTTAGGGTTGGAGTGGAGGGAGCGGAGGGTTGTGCGTTCCGTGGGGGAGAGGTTGGAGTGAGTGAGGGGGTCGAGAGATTAAGGCAGTCGATGTTGAGACAGCAGTTGGAAATGAAGAGGTCGGAGGACAGCAGGAGGCCATGAGGTGGTGTCCAGGAGGATGAGGTTTGTTGGAGGTGGGAGAAGGGGTCAGCAGAGGGTGGGTTAGATTCCAGTCAAAGAAATAGGCATGGAGGTGGAGGCAGTGGAATGAGATTTTGACATCCAGACATGAACGGAATTCATTGATGTGTGGGCGGAGGGGAATGAAGGTGAGTCCTTTGCTGAGGAATGACCATTCGTCCTCAGTGAGGGGGAGGTCTGGGGAGGGATGGTGAATACCCGGCAGGGCTGGAGACTGGGGCTCGGTTTACACTTGTATCCCCCATGCAGATGGCCTAAATACCTTCCACTTCTTCCTGTCCCGCAGGCCCAACCAGTCCCCTTGGTCCTCGCATACCACCCCACCAACCTCCACGTCCAGCATATCATCCTCCACCACTTCCGCCACCTACAATCTGACCCCACCACCAAAGATATATTTCTCTCCCCACCCCATCTGCCTTTCATAGTGACCGCTCACTCCGCGATTCCCTCATCTACTCCACACTCCCCACCAGCCCCACCACATCCGGCACCTTTCCCTGTAACCACAGGAGGTGCTACACCTGCCTCTACACTTCCCCTCTCACCTCCATCCAAGGCCGAAGGCCGACTTTCCAAATCCAACAGATGTACACCTGTACATCCTCCAACCAGGTCTACTGTATCTGTTGCTCTCGATGTGGCCTCCTCTACATCAGTGAGACCCAGCTCAGACTTGGTGACCGATTCATGGAGCATCTGCGCTCTGTATGAAACAAACAACAACACCTTCCAGTTGCCAACCATTTTAACTCCCCCTCCCACTCCCTTGATGACATGTCCATCCTGGGCCTCCTCCAGCGTCACAATGGCGTCACACACAAACTAGAGGAACAACCCTCATATTCCACCTCAAGAGCCTACATCCCAATGGCCTCAACACAGAATTCACCAGTCTTAAAATTTCCCCACCCCTGGCCTCATCCTATGTCCAACCCTCACTCTCATCCCCGCCTCCTTGACCTGTCCATCTTCTTTCCCACCTATCTGCCCTACCCTTCCACTGAACAGTCCCCACTATCACTACCTGCACTCACCTATCACCATCCCACCTACCTTCCCCCAGCCCCACCCCTCCTCTCTCTATTTATTTCCCAGCTCTCTTATCCCTCCACACTTCTGAAGAAGGGTCCCGACCTGAAATGCCAACATTCCTACTCCTCTGATGCTGCCTGACCCACGGTGTTCCTCCAGCTCCACGCTGTTTTGACTCTGAATTTTTTCTGAGTAGTTTCTGATCCAAATATGCCTGTCCTTAAGTATAGAGATCAAAACTAGACCAAGTACTTGAGACATTGTCCAGTTGTAGCAAAACTTTTTTACTTTTATATTCTGTCTCCCTTGCCACAAAGTCCAACATTTTACTTGTCTTCCTAATTACTTGCTGTATCTGCATGCTAACATTGTGATTCAAGGACAGAATACCCAGTTCTCTCTGTATTGAAGCTTCTGCAGTCTCTATCCACTTAAGTAATATTCATCTCAAATGGATTTTTGAAGCAGCCCTTTTTCCCAATACCACACTTCTTCTTAATCTACTAACCCCTATTTCCCACACTATCATCTCGTACATGTATGATTAGTTTGTGGATGCTTTTGCTTTCAAGAGTGAATTGTTTATTTTGGCACATGTTCCCTTCCTGTTACCCAAATAACAAATCCTTTCTTCAGGGTCCTGTCCTGTGGTAGCCCTGAATGCTTGCCACTCTACATCCTCACTCATTTTTCCACCTCCTTCCACTTGAAATCCATTCCCAATAAATTCATGCTACCCTACTTTATCTCATCAACATGCTATCCTTTGATTATATCATATGAAGTCTTGGACTTAGATTTGATGTGTTTATAAATAAGACCTAAATGCTCCTCTCCATCTCCTTTCATTAATATTTCACTCTCTCAAGTTTCCAGCGAATACAATCTTAGATTATCCATGGCTTCCTCCATTTAAAAATTGAAAAGACCAAATCTATTACATTTAAACCCCATCACCAGCATTGAATCTCTATTAATATCCGTTCACTTAATTCTGGCTGAAACTTCTGGTTAAACCAGATTATTCATAAGTTGATTGTTCATCATCTCCTCTACCATATATATGTTCGTATTCTTATTCACATTTAACCGTCCATGAAATCATCCATATATTCGTTAGCTGTAGACTTTCAATGCTTTCCTGGTCAGCCTGTTCTCCTACACTCCACAAATTGCAACTTATTCAAAACTGTACTGGCTGCATTGTATCTGAGAACAAGTCATGCTGACCCATCTCATCCATTCACACTGACCTGCTTTGACTCCTGGTCCTTGACTTCTTGAATTTAAAATTCTAATTCTTACTTTAAATCTGCCCATGAGAACACTTCTCTCTACCTTAATTTCACCCTCCATCCATACAACCCATATTCTCTGATCCTCAGGGTCCATCCTTTTCAGTGTTCTCCCTTCGTTACGCTATTGGCAATTTTGTTCTCAATAGTGTGGAAACCATGCTCTGGAATCCTGTTTCTCAGAAACTCTCCACCTCCTTGCCATATGAGAAAAGTCTCTTACAATCCACATTTCACCCTTTTTCTTAGTTTCCTTAGTTTCCTTTTTCTTATCCCTCCTTGAAACACGTTAGGATGTCAGTCATAGTTAGCAGCACTATATAAATGCTACTGCTGTTGTTTGATCATTAATGGAAAATATCTCTCTTTTTCAGCCTGTGATCTTGTGTCGCAAGGGATTTTGGCTCTTGTTAGCTCTACTGGCTGTGCACCTTCAGCTTCACTGCAGTCCTTTGCAGATGGAATGCATATTCCTCACCTCTACATTCAGCGCACACCAGCTGGAACTCCACGTTCTCAATGTCCTATTACAAGGAATACAAGAAACAGTGATTACACGCTTTCTGTCCGTCCTCCTGATTACTTCAATGAAGTGATTCTCAAAGTAATCACAGAATTTTCCTGGCAGAAGTTCATGATATTCTATGATGATGCATATGGTAATAACATAACCTTGTTTTCCTTTTAATTGTCAAGTGTAAATAACTGTTCTAGTTCTAATGGTTTCAATACTGATGTAATGCTTTTAATTATTTGAAGCAAGAAGATTTGATCTATATACATTGCACCCACTTTTTAATACAAATGAGAAGGCTGAGTTTACAGCAATATCATGTTTTCAATCATGATACTGAAAATGAACCTAAACTCAACATTTCAAATAATTAATATTGTATGTTTAGAACATGACTGTGTCAAATACAAGGGAAACAAAAATGAAAAATATGGTGTGTCAAATTGAAGAGTTTTATTTTGTTTTATGGCAAGAACTTGTACTGATCTGTGAATTTAAAGAGATATAGTCTTTCTCCCTTTTCCAACATTCCTGGCACAGAATTTCTATGATTTCTCTAAGCAATAAAAAAAGGATAACATTAGGACAGGAGTAGTTTGATGGATAGAGCTGGGAGTTACAATAACTGTAATACAGCACTGCAGATGTGTAACATGCCAATACAAGCTTGATCATACATGAATTCTCCACAATATTATTTATTTCAGATTTTGCCTTGACATCCAGCACCTGACATTATTAATTGCTGGATTCAGCACGGGAAAATTAATATAGATCAAAGAGAATTGTTCCATAATAATGAGTTAACTGACATTTCATAAAAGTTATGAAATGAAAGTATGTACCTGATTTGATTGTTTGCCTATTCTTAAATTGTAGCTTTCTTTCCCAGTATTTGAAAGCAAGCTTTTAGTAAGTAGGCACTTGACAATTAAAATTACTCAGCTATCTCTTCCTAAATTTGTTTCTGGGAGTTTCATTTCTTTGGGGTGTTCCCTTTAGCAGCTGGTTAATATGTTGGCATTACATTTCTGTCTGTGCTATTTTAATGCACTTACTAGTTAATTTGTTTTTAATGGGTTAACAACTGCAATTAAATAGCAGACGTTGCAATTTAACACAAACATGCTAACCAGTGCACTAAGTAGCTCACAGAGAAAACTAAATCCCCTAATGTGCAGATTCTGAAATTAGGGAATGTAATTGTGAGTTAATTTTTCCTGCCAGTATCTGTTGCACATGAAATGTAGCACAATAATTCCCATTGAATTCCCAGTGAACATGCCTGGATATCCAGTTGGTATGTTTCTTATTGGGGCATTGCTGCTTGTTAAAATACTTAATTGTGATTATCACAGAGAGCTTTGATTTGTTGGCTTACATTCTGTGATGGTGTCGGAATGCTGCCAAAGGGAGAACACAGTATTTGAAAATTAAGTGGTTTGCTCATTGGCAGAAAACCACAGAGCCCATGCAGTGTAGTGATAGTATTCCTACCTCTGGGCTACTAGGTCTGGGTTCAAGTCTTCCTGCCACAGATGAGTATTGTAACATGCCTGAACAGGTTGATGATAAATATTTTACAGACAGCATCAAAACAACAATAATTGTTTTTTTCCATTGTTAATTTAAATACTTACCCATAAGTTAATTTATTGCATGTATATAAGCACACTAAATCTCTTCTTTCAGAATTAAAAAAAATCTCATGTTTTGATATTAGTTTAATGGATACTTGTAATTACTTTGTGCAGCATAATCATAAAACAATTAATTGGACAACTTTTTTTTTACAGTATACCTTAACGTGTTGAAATCTCATACATAATATTTTGCACATTTGTACAGATATTCGTGGGATTCAAGAATTTTTGGGCCAAGCTGGTCAACAGGGAATAGAGATTTCACTGCAAAAGGTTGAGGCCAGCATAGGCAGCATGTTCACAGGCCTTTTCTCCACGCTTGGGTTTGATGAGCTGAGCCGTTTCCGAGACATGCTTCGAAGAGCCCTACTTTTCCTTAACCCACGTACTGCAAAGACCTTCATTAGTGAGGTAACAAATTTCATACCTTGGGTGTTATATACAGAGAAGTCTGAAATTGAAACAGCAAATTTTGAAAAAAAAAACACAAGCAGGCCCATGAGCATCACCAACATCCTTACGTAAATAAAACCGTCATCGTACTGAATACTACACTTCAGTTGAGCATTATGAAACAAAGTATGACATCAAGCCACATGTGGAGGTATGGATCAGGTAGGCTGGCTTCAAGGTGCATCTAACAGGAAAGTGAGATAGTGAGTTGGAGAGGTGCAGGGAGAGTATTTCAGAGTCCAGGGCCTATTCAACTAAACGTATCACCATCAATAGTGGAGCAATTAAAACTGAGATAATTTAAAATTTACAGTTAGCTCTGAGTTATCAGGCCGGAAGAGATTATAGAGACAGGGATGGATGAGGCATGTGTCATTTGAAAACAAGGCAAAAACATATAAATCAAGATTACAGGGCGACATTGGAAATAGACTCTCTATGAGTGAAAACATCAGCAAGGAATTTTTTGGATGACTTCGTGTTTATGAAGGGTAGAATGTGAGTCACCAATGCATTGGACTAGAGGAAATAAAAGCATAATTGAGGGTTTCAGCAGTGGATGAACAGAGTCAGAGGCAAATTGGGTGATGTTGCTGAGGTAGACACAGTAGATTTTAGTAATGGCACAAATATGGGTTAGAAGCTTATCGTGTGATCAAATGCAACATCAAGATTGTTTATAGACTGACTTAATCTCAGAACCAAAAGTAGAAATTGCTGGAAAGGCTCAGCCAATCTAGCAACATCTGCGGTGAGAAATCAGAGTTAACGTTTCGGGTTCACAGAATTGATGGTAGCTAGGAAAAAGTTGGGTTTTATGCAGAAATGCTAATTCTGATTTCTCTCCACAGATACTACTAGACTTGCTGAGCCTTTCAGCAATTTTTGCTTTTGTTTCTGATGTCCAGCATCCACAGTTCTTCCAGTTTTTGTTTTGACTTAATCTCCGACTGTTGTCAAGGAGAGGGTAGAGTCAGTAACAAGGAAATTAGTTTGGACCAGTCGCCAGAAAAAATTGTATTTAGTTGTAGTTCATTCTGGTCAACTAGTACTGGATGTTGAATACAAGTTTGATAATTTGAGAAATATGCTAAAGGGAGTATGAAGGATGGTTAATCTTTCTAGTATCTATATAATCCAAGGTAGGAATAATTGGTCTGGTAGAAGATGGTAGTTATCAAAATCAAGATTGGTGATAATCCATAAACTACTGTTACCTTGCACTTAGTATCTATTTTATATCTGTAAAAGAAAGTACAAATCTTATAAAAAATGGATGTTCTATGAAATTGTTCATTCTGATTTATAAATTGCACAGCCTTTGCGGAATGGTACACTGGGAGCTAATCAGTACAGTAATTCAAAATGTCTGTAACTATTTTTTTCCATTCACGATGGCTCAGTGGTTAGCACTGCTGCCTCACAGCGCCAGGGACCCGAGTTCGATTCCACCCTCGGGTGACTGTCTGTGTGGAGTTTGCACATTCTCCCCGTGTCTGCGTGGGTTTCCTCTGGGTGCTCCGGTTTCCTCTCACAGTCCAAAGATGTGCAGGCTAGGTGGATTGGCCATGCTAAATTGCCCATAGTGTTCAGGGATGTGTAGATTAGGTGGGTTTTAGGGGGATGGGTCTGGGTGAGATGCTCTGAGGGTCGGTGTGGACTTGTTGGGCCAAAGGGCCGGTTTCCACACTGTAGGGATTCTATGATTCTATGAACTTTATTGTTTATTCTCCAATTCTAGATCAAGTAGTGAATCTTCCTTTGCTGGACTCTTGGATTAGTAAACAATCCTGCACACATTGTAGGAACTTGATTTTCCTTTACATTCCTTTTCCATTCAATTAATTTTCTGATAGTTATTCTTTCCATTACTCATGTCCCTCATTTGTTTGTATCTTTCTTTCTTCACCAAACTCCCACTTTTAGGGGTTTTGAATGACCCTTATCAATGTTATTGATCCTTTATCACTTGTCTCGATCCACATGGATTCTGTGTCTTATTGATGGTTGTGTTGTATTTTCAAACTGCCATAATGGTTTCTTTGATAATTATAGCTTTTTTCTCCTAAATTTTCCAAATATGTTATACCTAGTTGTGTTTTAGTCATAGTAATGATTTTTGTCTTACCATTTGTCATTAATTCCTACCGCATCTGGATTTTTGTAACACATGACTATTTCCAATTACTCTTTTATTCTTGGTTTTAGTCCAGCATGTAATTTAATTAACTTTTATTAACAGTCTATTCCTAATCCTTTTTTATACATGCTCTACAACTCATTATTTCCTCACCATATATACATCTGCCTCTATCCTCGCTTATCCCTGCTTGTAGTTTTATCTGTTCCATACTTTTCCATTTGCTTAGATTATACTTCAGATCATTTCATTTTTCATACTTCTCGCCTTCATCTTATTAATTTGGAAGGAGTTTATCCCATCAGTACAGCTGTTTCCTGTACCAATAATTCTGTAGGCGTCTCAATTAAAAAAAAAATCTATTCTGCTCATTCTCCTTTCCTGCAACACCTTTCTTGAACAGCTTTCTGAGCCGTAGTACCTTGGTCTGCATAGTAGCTGATCTCCCTGTAGTCTTTCCTGTGGTCTTCACAGATAGAGAGTCTATATTGAGAGAGCAAATGTCTGCAGGATCTCCTTTTGAATTGCTCCCAGATCCATGCAATCTCATTCTCTGCGAATCACACTCTCCCATTCCTGAACTTATGCTTTTTTCTTGGTTGTAACTGTGTATAAATGCTGTTTATATTGTGTGTATAGCCATCCAGAAATTCCAGAACCATATACTAATCACTAGCCAATTGATCTAACCAACCCTTCTTACCTTACCTTAGTACGTGCTTATTTACAGGTAATGATCTTCTTGTCAGTTTTTAAGATTTTTCCTTGTTATTAGCATGCTAACTTGTAAGAAATGTTAAAACACTCGATGAATGTTTATTTTTAGGCTGCCTCATGCTTACATAAGCTTCTAAAATGTTCAAAGCCAAAAGAAACACTCCCATTACTTCTTTCAATAATTTCCAAAAGTTAACAGTGTGATCAGTGCTCATGTTCTCTCTGCAGTGTCTTTTAAAAGATTTTACCTTTCTGAATGAGGGGATGTTGGGCTGAGAAATGCTAACAAATTACGTTTTCAAAATGAAAATGCAAGTTATGCACCACTTTTGACTTGAGCCAAGTTGCTGTCTCTATTGTACTTTAGTTATTTGTTAAAAAGTGCTTCACAATATTGCAGATTGAATTGTAACCCATTTTAGTGTGTGCTCTCTGAGGATATACCTAACCTCTGTTCAGCATTCTCACTCAGGAAGCCAGGATCTGTCAGTACCCTGAATTGTTGAATAAATGTGCTAAATCACAACAGTCAATATAATAGTGTTCCCAGTTCCAGCCTGATTGGCACAGGTAGAATGGAGCTTCAGCCAATTCCAGTGGCCAAGTTTTATCAGCCTGCCACTTGTTCAGTTCCAAACCAAAATGGCTTGACAGTTAGCTTGATACAGTTGACCATCAGTTCAAGACACAGTGGGCTCAAGGAAATTTGATAATTACATCTGCAAGGAAATCACCATTGCTACCTAATTCATGTTTTATGTAAAGTAGAAGTTGATAATATTACAACTGTGGAATTAACAATCAGCACATTTAAAGAAATATCCCATTACCCGTTGCCCTTGGGTATTTGCTACCTGCAATTTAAAATTACAGTCAGCTGAACAGGGTGGAAGTGCAGTGTTAAGTCTCCCATTCAATTTTACCTGCCATTTGCCAATTTTTGGTTGGAAGTTTGAGTTCAAATCAACTGCAAAATATTAATACAGCAAATTTTGTCAAGTTGAAGTCCATGCAGACGACTTTGAGAAGCTTGTAAACAGAGGCACAGAAGGCACTGAGGAGAATACAAAATGCTGGATTTAGAGTGCAGCATTCTTGTGGGCAGAACGAAAAACTCACAAATTTGATTTGCAACTAAGTTGGCTCTTCCCTATACGCAACAAGTCAGCCAGTAAGATTTAATTGTTTTCTAAGGACGTCTTCTAACAACTAAAATACTCAGCTTAATTTTTAAAAGCTTGTTGAAGGCCCCAGCAGCAATAAGTTCCAATACTAATAACCATTCCAGAAAATAAAATGTATGATCAAATTCTGTTTGAAAACATTAAAAAGCAGAATGTTGATAGCTCTCTAATGTTTTAATAAATGACCTATTATTTTCAGATGGCCAGGATTATTAATTTTATTTAAATTTGGTGAAGCGAAACCTGCAATTGTATCTGTTTTACCCTGCTTCTATAAATAATGGCACATCTGCAATGAGTGCACGTAGGCAATGGAATACAACATCGCAATCATACTTCGTCAAGTCGTAACAGCTGTGAATTCAGGTTTCTGTTTACAGTGCAGTTTTCCCAAAATGTGAAAATAAGTTACAACCCATGTTTGCTTCAAATTTCATGGTAAACTTATCTCCTGAACGTTGCTGTTTCTCATGCTGTACACATTCCAAACATGGTTAATATAAATCTACTCATCATGCTGACAGTTTATACTATCCTGTAGGAAGTAAGCAGAATGAGAAACACATTTTATGATGTTTTGAATGAGGCCCATATCGAATGCAACCTAGCAGTTTCACAAGATTGATCAGTTTGTAGTTGTCAAAACTGACTGTTCAATCAGCAGAAGCTGCTTCAATGTGTCTTTAATTACTAAAGAGTTTGGCAGTACAAGCAGCCAGTCTTTGAATAAGTTAATGAATAAAGTTCAGACTAATTCTATGGACTTTACTGACAATTTAGCTGCATTTTTGTCTCGCTTCTGTCCATTTACAGTTCACTCATTGTACATTGTGGGTTAATGTCTCTGCCACGAGTGTTGCAAATTCTAAGGCAAATTGCAGCAGAAATTATAACCAACTTGAAAGGCACTTCTCCCC